CCCCCCTCTCCATGTGCAGCCGCATACGAGGCCAAAAGCGCATGCCCTACTTACCCATCACGGTTTAACCCTCTGGGTTGATTTTTAATGGGGCAGGTGTAGGGTGGTCTTTAGGGGTCCTATTTGCCTTTTATTTGTAAAAATAATCTTCTTTTACATTTTCAGGAGCCCGATTTTTCCCTTTTGGTTGAATTTCCATCAATAGGCATTTGTTGCCTGACCAACAGGGGTTTGAGTTGATGGAGATTGTTATATTAACCTCCTTAAAACAATTATAGGTGGCTTTAATTTAATCTTATCTGATTCTTTTCAACACCATTAAATATTCGCTCACACTTTTTAACCTAGAATTAAAAGTTTAACCACCGATTCCGTAACACAGTTAGGCGGGGGAATAGATATTTAGACGGCCCTTCAAAGACAGTTCTGCCAGAATAGTTTATCTAGTCTTAGTATGGATAAAAACTGTATGAAGTTGAGAGAGGTCGCGAAAATCTATGACGTCAATACATTCTGCGTAGTCCGTTGTCTGTGGTTGGTTCAAATCCATTCCGGGAAATGGTACATAAATTAACAATGATAGAAGACACGCGGCTGAAAGGAGGCGGACTTATGAGAGTCCCGTGGTAAAGTCATAATTACAGGGAATCGTGAGGTTAAAAATTTCGAGCCGTCACACAAAACTGGCGGAAGATGAAGTGGATAAAGTGGTAAAGGGTAATTCAGGGCACATGTCCGTTTTTAAAAGAATTTCGAAAGCATCTGTCAGTTTTTTTTTCCTTAAGTATAATAAAGAACGCAAAAGGCCATTACACTCTTTTAACTAGGCAGGAAACTGATTAGGGTGCGTTTCATTATTTTACATGAAGTATTCTGGCCACCGACTTTCATTTTACAAACGGATTTAATTCTACCTACGACAAGTTTCTGCGCCAATGCAGACACACGAAGGAGTCAAAAATTGTCACATACGAGAAGAACTACGCACAATGACATACTGAGCCGAGTGAAATTCCCAAAAACTTTCAGCGCCTGATGGTTCACTTTACAATGAACTGTAAAGTGTGGAATGAGCGTATATAAGGAGCCTGTTTGCAACGCTGGCCCTTTAAGTATCTTGTAGCGACCCCTTATTCTCAGTCATGCTTCTCTCGGACGCCGCGGGGACAAGGTC